GGGGGTTCGCTTGAGAAATAATATGATGCCGTGTAGTAGTATTAGTCATCGCCAGACACTAACGGACCATTCATTAATGATATTATCAACAGGGTATGTTCTACATTGGTCAGCATTGAGAACAATCGTTTGTTTTAGTAAGAGTTTCACGGTACTTGCAACACTATAAGGTCATATTAGGGTCGAAGATAAGAAGAGTTACACAGGAGTTATAAACATACAAAGCAGAAGGAGGAGAGATAAGGACGATGAAAATTAGATAGAAAAAGAAGGAGGAGTGATAAGGACGATGAAAGTTAGATAGAAAAAGAAGGAGCAAGCCACACTACAGCATCCGCCAACCACCGACAAACAATCTCTGGTCTGGAATATTACACACACATGTATGATGTACCGCTCGCTTATCATATTTGTGGAAGAGATTTTCCCAGACACCACTGATTTATTGATGTTTGAATTTTTTTTCACTCCAGGCTTGCGTCGCCGTCTACCAGCAACAGCGAAGAAAACAGCGAAGACAAATGCGGAAAAGTGCCGAGAATACAAGATCAGACTCCGCAAAGATCCCCAACGTCATCAAGAGATGAGAGCAAAGCAGAAGGAACAAACCCGAGAGTGGAGAGCGAGACAAACACAGGAAGCAAAAGAGAGGTCAAAAGTAGCAGCGAGAATCAGGCAGCAAAAGAGAAGGTATGTGTCACCTTTTGTTGTACCGGAACAGTTAAGTCTTAGTTTAAATAAGGTTTTACGGCGCTCGCAGCTGCATAAGGTCATATGAGCTCGGAACGAAACCGAGAGTGGAGAGCGAAACAAACTCAGGCAGCAAAAGAAAGGTCAAATGTAGAAGCGGGAACCAGGCAGCCAAAGAGGAAGTATGTGTCACCTTCTTGTTGAAGCATCTAAAAAAAACAACCGAAGCAAATGTTCAGTTTAAAAAAACAACATTTTATTGTTTGTTCTGTTTTTGTAAAGTGTTTTACGGCGCTCGCCACTGCATAGGTCATATGAGCGCGCGGGACACTCCTAATATTTTCAGTTGGTAGGAAATTTTGAATTTTGCCCGGGTGGCGGCCGAAGCCTACTCTTA